TCCCAAGTTCCATGTGCATAATATAAGCATCTATTTACAATACCATTTTTGCATGCAATTTCAGAATACCCATCAGGTGTCAGTGTGATGTTGGGTCTTCCCAAAAGAAGTGCCTGATGCATGGGTAAACAGTCAACTAGCTTTTTTCTATTATAAAGAGTAATATCAGGTTTAAAGGGAGTGGCAGCACATAAGTATATAGGATCAAATGCTGCCATTGCTAACCAAAGTTTCTCCTGATGTACACCATTCTTATTGGCACAATCCTTGGCATAGTCCACCCTTGTCTTGCACCCTCAACACTATGATCTAATTTATTCCATATTTCAAATCTTTCCCAATTGTAATTAGCTACACCCCTATACTGTGTATGACATTTTACCCCAGGTGGAAATCTATGTCATACTGATAATAAAGATATATTAAAACAATCTGGCCAGGGAGAAAAATGAGCTGGCCCTTTCACAGATCCAATAGTTTCTATATCAAACATAGATATATTCCCTGAGGAACTAATTGAACAGAATGAGTAACAGTTTCTAATTTAACACAGTAATCTATACATCAATCCCAAAACATATTGGGAATGGGCCAGTTTTGCCTTTAAAATCGTATCCTAAAACATCATACATTTCTAAATTTTTAACTCTCCAATCCCTTTGTCCAAAAATTTCTGCAGGCATAATGTCAATAACTGGGTCATTCCATGTGAGTGGTTTTGGCCATGGGGATCATTAATGTATGAACAAAGCTGCAAAGTCCTTCCTTCAATACTCATTGTTTATAACAGCATTATCAGTTGCAGCAGCTGTCCTGCCAACTTTGCCCATCATCTTGGGTACTGATTTCTTGTTCTTTTGTCCTTTTTCTTCCTTCAAATTTGAAGTTTCTGGAACCTCCAGGTCATCTCTGATACAGATTCTAATGTTAATTTCAGGGATCCATATTGGTCCTTCTGTACCATCTGAAAAAAGCATACCCTCGTCCCCAAGTGAACAATTTGTCTGGCCCAAACCAATGATTGGTGTTTGGGTCCTTTCGCTTGACTCTTTTTTGAGTCTTTTATTCCTCATTACTACTTCCCTTATGTAATCTCAAGTATTTTTCAGCGGGGGTACAGCCTCCTCTATCAGGAGTAAGAAAATTTAAAGCATATATTGCTTGAGCCAATTGATTTCGTGGTCTACCCCTAGCTTCTCCCCCTTTTTGCTTTTGAAGAAATGTTTTAAGAGATCTATTTTTCCTTTCCACAATTGCTTGACTAGTAGGATTATAAGGAATACCGGTAATGTGGTGTATATGAAACGTAAGACAGAATGTAGGAAATGCATGAGAAACATAAGCAGGGCCATTATCAGTTTTAAAAACTGAAGGCACACCAGAAATGGAAAAGCAATGAAGCATATGATCTATAACATTTTGTACTGCTTCTCCTGCTTGTTCAGTAGCCATAGTGAAGGAAGAGAAAGTATAAACTGTTACGTGAATAAATTGTAACTTTGCAAAACTGCTGTAATGAGTAACATCCATTTGCCAAATTTCTCCTGAATGTAATCCACATGGATAAACAGCCAATTTATATGGTGTAGGGGTGGAAGGAAGACATTTGCAACAGGATTTTATTATCTGACCAGCCTGCTCTCTAGTAATCCCAAATTGTGTCCTTAACATGGAGATAGACTGATGAAATTTATTATGTGATTACTTAGCTTCCTCAACGGACAACATTAACAAGGTTTGTCTAGTAAGGTCATCAGCTATCTGATTCCTGCTTGTGACAGGTCCTGGAAGCTCTGTATGTGAAGGACCATGTGTACAATATACTGGGGAAGTTCATTGCAGAATAGTTTTTTGTAACATCACAAAAAGTTGCAATATATTATAATTAGATGACACTTTAATTTGAGCAGTTTCTATATTATTAACCGTTCCTACTGCATATTTACTGTCTGAAAATATATTAAAACGACCAGAATATCTTTCTAGTAATAACATTATAGCATAAATTTCATTTTGTTGGGTAGAATCTAATGGTGTGTGTGCTACATATCTCTCATGAGGGGGAATAAAATATGTTGACATGTGATTAGGGGGAAGTGTCAGTAAAGGCACAGAGCGCTCCCACTATGGGATTCTTTTGTACTATCATATTAATAATCCACTGATGTTTCCTAGGAAGTTGTAAAATTGGGTATTGATATGTATTGTCTATATCCCCTTGAAAAATAGTAAGAAGCACCTGCCAAGAATAGTCTTGACTGAGCAATTCTTCTATTTGTTTTTTGTCATAAGGCTGATGTATAATATTAGGGGCATTTCCAACTAATTTTAATACTCTTTTGCAGGCTTTCTTAGCCAAATCTGCTACCATAGAAGGATATGTTTGTAGGGTATATTTTGGCTGCTAAGGCCGAAAAACCCACTCCAGTAACTTCTCTTTCTGATGTATACATGAAAAGGTATATCTGGGGTATCTAATATTGTAACTTCTAAAGGCATACCAGATTCTATGTGATAAACCATTGCAGTTTCTATTGATTTCCATATTTTTTCTAAGTGCTGTTTTGCTTTGGTGGTAAGTGTTCTAGGAGATGTAGGGTCAGGATCACCTCTAAGAATATCATACAGTTTCTGTGATTCATGAGTTCCCATTTTTAAATAAGATCTGATCCAATTAATGTCTCCTAGGAGTTTTTGAAAATCATTTAATGTTTTTAGTTTATCTTGTCTAATACATATCTTCTGAGGCTGAATTTCTTTCATTCCTAGTATTTGTCCTAAGTATGAATAAGGAGGTGCTTTTTGAATCTTTTCAGGTGTTATCTCTAAACCGTGCTCTGTAAGAGCTTTAATCATTTCCCGCATAATACTGGCTAATTGTTCTTTTTGTGGTTCTGCTATATATTGCTGACACATGGTGGGGCTATTTTTCATCCCTTGAGGAAGCACCTTCCACTGATATCTTTGGTGAGGCTGCTTTAGGTTTTCTGATGGTAATGAGAATGCAAAATATTTACAATCTTCTGCTCTAAGGGGTATAGTATAAAAACAATCCTTTAAGTCAATTACCCACAAAGCCCAGTCTGCCAGGATTGCAATTCGAGAAGGCGGCCCTGGCTGCCATAGTTATCATGTGGGCATTGATTTATCTGAGATCCATTAACATTCTCCATTTACCTGATGTTTTCTTAACAGCAAATATAGAAGAATTCTATGGACTTCTGGAAAATTCTATGCAACCTGCTGCCAATTGTCTGGTTCTTATATCTTGAAGAGCCCTGATTTTTTCCAAATTAAGGAGCCACTGGTCCACCCATATGGGGGGCCCTTCTTTCCAAGTTATTTTAGGAACCTGTACTGTTCTTTTCTCTTTGGATGTGACCCCTACAAAAATTTTTCTACTTATAATAGCCTTCATGTGTTTCAATAAATCTCTTCCCCAGAGGCAGCATGGAAGGTGTAGCAATACATATGGTCTAACTTTTCCTTGCTGCCCCTCCACTTTCCAAGAGAGCCATGCCATGTTTTGTGCAGGAGTGTCTATTTCTCCTATTCCCTGTAACATCACATTTCCTTGATCTAGTGGCCATTCTCTAGGCCAGGCCCATAAAGTGATAAGTGACTTAACAGCTCTTGCATCTATTAACCCTTCCAATCCCTTTCCCTGTACCTCCATTTTTAGAGTTGGTCTGGCATCTGTGATAGTTCTATACCAAAACAGTCCTGTACTACCAAATCCTTCTGTCCCCCTTATTTTTTCTGTCATCTTTCCCAGTTTTTTATAGTCCATTACAATCATTTGTGCTATTCTTTCCATTTTTTGAATGAAAAAATGACAACAAGGAAAAACATATGCCATAACCTCAATTTCTCCAGTGTAATCAGAATCCACCACTCCAGGGATGACCATAAGTCCCCTAAGTGTCTGGGAACTATGACCTAATATTAAACCCACCATCCCTGGGGGTAATGGACCATTTACTCCAGTGGGAATGCATATAACTTCACCCTTGATGTCTTTATCAAGACTGGACCTTAAATCTAATCTCCCACTACTGGGGTGGCATGAATAAGGCCTAGTATTGTGAGTTTTGTGGGTGTGGAGCAGGGACTGGTTGAATCAGTGAAAGTGCTGCTCCAATTGTCTTCCTGGGCCAAGTGAGCCCCTCTGGGGGTTTAAAGTCTGCCCATTAACATCTGAAGTAGATCTCCATTGTGATGCCCAATGATTTCCCCTTTGACACCTAGGACAAGGAGTACTGGGGGGCTGTTATAGTGACTTCCTAAGATCCCTGCAATCCTTTTTCCTATGGCTGGGCTTTCTGCTATTAAAGCATTTTATCTTTCCTTGGTCCTGTGACTTTCATAACTCAGTTTCTCCACATAAAAGATTTAAAAAAGGTATATGATCTATTCCTATTAAGGCAATGAGTGAATATAACTGAAACTATGGGTAAATAATTTAGGTGAAATGTAATCCTAGGGAAAAGGAGAGAAAAAGTTGACTTAGGAAGCAGTAGAGTGCCAAAGATCAGTAAAAGAGACCCTGAGAAGGAAGTGATTCATAAAAGAGGTTCAATCTATTAGTCATTGGAAATGGAAGATGTTTGAGAAGGTTTGACAATTAGAAATGGGCCTAAGGTGGGATAGAAATTTATTATGAGTGCAGAAAAGCCTACTACATGTGATCCAACACTTTAGAATTATTGAAGTGATGTGGGGTGGTTGACACTGAGTCAAAACCATCAGTTCTGAAAGTTTCAGTGTCAACAACATTCCCTAGTGCTTTGGAACTAGCTCTAAGAGAACTGTCAGAAGTTCAGGAAAGGAACTTCTCCCTGGGAGGAAGAAGGCATTCTTCCTCTTTTTGAATAGAGCAAGCCATGCAAATTGGTTCCCTCCCTACTGGGATGAAAGCAGCCCCAAATCTGTACCTGCAACTCCTCTGGGAGACAAGCTCAAGCTCTTTGTGTCCTTCCCTGCAGAGGACTTATCTGGAAACGCACCATGAAATTTAGGCTGAACTGGGTTTTCCTTCTGACCATTTTCCAAGGTAGTTTATGGAGAGGAAGGGACAATGTGAAGTGGTGACTTCATTGATGATTGACTTTAATTCAATGTCTCTGTGTTGCAGGTGTCCAGTGTGATGTGGAGCTGGTGGAGTCTGGGGGAGATGTGGTGCAGCCTGGGGGATCTCTGAGTCTCTCCTGCAAAGCTTCTGGATTTACGTTCAGCAGCTACGGATGAGCTGGGTCCGCCAGGCTTCAGGAAAGGGACTGGAATGGGTTGCAACATTAGTAGTAGTAGTAGTACTACTATGCAGACTCTGTGAAAGGCCGATTCACCATCTCCAGAGATAATGGCAACAGCATGTTATATCTACAAATGACTTCCCTTGAGACTGAGGACACAGCTGTGTATTACTGTGCAAGAGACACAGTGAGGAAAAGGAATGTGAGACCTGATAAAAAACTTCCCCTGCCAGGAGGGAAGTGTCAGTGAGGCAAGAAGTGGACTGAGCTCATGATGCAGAAAGTAAAAGATGCCTATATCCAGGAACAGGTATAGTGAATTTCTATTTTGGCTTGTGGTGTTTTTTTCTGTCCCAGGAGAAAGCAACTTTTCCAGTACCTAGCTATCATTCTTAATGCCTCACTCTCAGTCCCACCTCTACCCCATAATCAATTGTAGTTATGTATTGTCCATTCTACTTTATCAGAAATTCTACTCTACTCTACCTTCTCTCCTCAAGGTACTGCAACCACCCTGAGGTAGGCCTTTCCAACTCATACCTGGACTATTATGCTAGCTTGATATTTTTCTCCCAGCCTTAGTACTCTCTTCACTCCAGTTCACAGGAAACTCAGCTATTAATATCACCTTCCTGAAACATAGATCTGACAGTTTTTCCCAAGTTCTGGTGAATCCAGAATAAAACATAAGTTCTGATTTGGCTTTTAAATCCTTTTGTAGCATGGCTCCTTCCTGTCTTATTCTACCTTAGTTCTTTCCACATGCTCATCAATCCAATGACACTGATCTCCTTGCTGTTCCTTTCACAACAGATTCCATCTCTCTATGTGTATTTTCACTGGCTGGAATTCTTCTCCTCCTCATCCCTGCCTCCTGGCCCCTTGACCTCCTTAAATCTTACCTAAAATACTCCCCACCTTCTACTTTCCCCATCCTCTTTAATTCCACCTTTATGCTGCATATATACATATACACACACACACACAGATTAGATAAATAAATAGTGCGTTATTATTTCAATGTTGTCTCTCTGAATAAGAGTGACCACCTTAAAAAGAGGTACAATTTTTTGCCTTTCTTCATATCCCAGTACTTAGCGCTGTGCTTGGCATATAGTTTACTATGCTCAATAAATAAATACTTGTTGCTGATCTGACCTTCTGTTCCTTTTTGAATTTGGCTCTCCTAAATTGCTGAGCTTTGTTCTATTTCTGATTTACATGTTATATACATAATGAGTAAATACTTCACATTTTAACATATCCATATGAGGTATAATAAATTATTGAGTATTGTTATGAATTAAATTTAACAAAAAGGTAAATTAAGGCACCTTTCTCTAAGCAAGATATGCATTCTATTTTCAAGGGTGGAAACCTGAGAACAATGGGTCAAAACTGCCTCAGTCTCCAGCCAAAGATCCCAAGCAAAAAACAGCTCTCCTTGTATAGAGTCTGGCTAGTACAGAACAAAGAACAAACAGGATAGGTGACATCAAGGGCTTGAGGTCAACATGACTTTTTTACATAGGTGGAGTGTGGGGAACAACATGAGTGGTTTGGAAATTTGGAGTGGGGCCTAACACCAACCCTCCTTCTTTCCCATTTATGACTAAGAAGTGGTTACTTTGAGTCTACTTTCATGTTAGAAGAGTGGTCTAGACTTCTTCTGATTGCAAACCAGATAGCCCTGAAGGATAGTTTGTAGTGTAAAGATATTAGAGAATTCCCTTATGGCAAACCATATTCCCTCAGGGTTAGCAGAATTCCTTCAGACAGAATACACCTGATTAACAAGAGAACTGGATTTCAAACTTAACCCTTACAGGTCAGCTGAATTCTGAACTAAGTTGAGAGACATAGAACCATAACTAAGTACTCAGTTATAGGGCATAATCAATTAATTGTAAATAAGATAAATGAGAAAATGATACAGGATCCATTTTAATCTTCTCAGTATTATATGCATACAGCCATATCACATGCATTATGCATAGATTAAAAATGCCTTTACAAAGAGACTAAAGAGTGTCCCACTCACAACTTGTAATCAGTATAAAAAAAAGTGTTTATAGCTTTAGCTGATGTAAGTAATTTCATTAATCAACCTCAGAGGATTTTTAGGCTTGAAGTATGAAAGGAATTGACTCTACATGAGGAAGTTGTAGGAACTGGCTAACCAATAGAATCCCAAAACTGTTAAAGCAAATGGGCAAACCCTGCTCAAATGAGTTATTAAAAAGGATTTAATTCATTTTTAAAAGTAAGGAAATTCTAGTTGCTCCTCTCAGGTGCCTTCTTACCCTGACACCTGAGCTTTTTGGACTCAGTAGCAATTGGTCACTGACTCCTCAGCAATGTTGACTCCATTGGCACCAGAACAGAAACGTTTAGAAAAGATTTTCAATGCAGTCATCATTGCCGACATCTTGGAAAGTGAGGATTCAGCTCATCGAAACTTAATGAAAAAAACTGTGCTTGGTGTCTTGTTTACCAAACTCCATTTCTGATCACCCATTCAGTATTCAAAATGTCTGTTCATGGATGTAGATATTCTGCTACTGACAAACATTGATGAGCTTTAAAATTGAACATTATTATTTTTGCACTTAATAGTATTTTATGTTTTCCAATTGCATATAAAGATTGTTTTCAACATTCATTTTACAAGATTTTAAATTCTGAATTTTTCTCCCTCCCTCCTTTGTAACATATACAATCATTTTAAATATATTTTCATATTAGTCATATTAGGAAAGAAGAATCAGAACACAAGGGAAAAACAAGGACAAAGAAAAAAATAGTTAAAATAGTATGATTTGATCTGCATTCAGACTCCATAGTTCTTTCTCTGAAGTTGGATACCATGATTCATCTTGAGTCCTTTGGAAATATTTTGGTTCATTGTGTTGCTGACAAAGCTAAGTCCATCATAGCTGATCATCAAACAATGTAGCTGTTATTGTGTACAACTTTCTTCTGGTTCTCCTCACTTTACTGTGTATCAGTTCAAGTAAATGTTTCAGGTTTCCCTGAAATCATCTTGCTTCTTATTTATTACAGCACAATAATATTCTGTCACAATCATGTATCAGGCTTATTTAGCCATTCCCCAGTTCATATATATCACCTCAATTTCCATTTCTTGGCCACAACATAAGGATACCCTTTGATCCAACAACACACTGCTAGGTCTATATCCTAATGAGAATGAAAAAAGGGAGAGGACTACTTGTAAAATTTAACTATGTTCTACATAAGTATGGAATTTTTACTTTCTTTTGTAAAGATTATGAAGCAGTGACTGAAAAATGAAAATACAAGTCCTGTGCCAGTGAAGGAAAAAAAAAACACACAAAATTGACATAGTTCAGATTCTATGCATTATACAAGATTTCACAATCCCAATGGCTGATGTGAAAATAATTTGTTTTTATGGAAAGGTCCTAATGGACCTTGCAAACCCTTACCCTTACTTTCATCTTCACCCTTCTTCTCATGGAATAAGAGCACTGACCCACCCCTTTCCTACTCAGTACAAAAAAAGGCAAGGTAAATAAGAGCAGGGAAAAGATGCTCTATTTCCTGAGGACATAGTGATGGCAGACTTGGAAGCTCTGAATAAGGAGAGTGGTGTCTTATTTGGAAGTTCAGTTCAAAATGCTCTGAAAGTGTAGAAGACAAACTCATGCCCCACAAGGGCATAATGTGCTCAAAGTAAGTTGAGGGGCAGGTTATTATAAACTGCAAAGAGAATATAGTAGAAACTCTTTCTAAATGCTGTGGAAGAGGAAATGGGGAGTTGGTTTTTTTGGGGTGCCTATGTCATGGTCCCACAATACATTATGGGCCTATATTAGAAACAGTATATGCCTTGAGATACAATGGAAGCTTTCTTTGCATCTCTTGTCCATTTCATGCTTCATTTACTCTAGGTGGAAGAGAGGTATGAGAGAACATATTTGGCAGTAGAGGTATATAACAGGTGGATTCCAAAATTAAAAATGAGCAAAGGCACCGAAGGAAACACAAGAGCCAATGGACAGGGGCAGAGATATAGAGGGAAAAGGTATCCATGAGCAGATTCAATTCAAAATCAAGGATAAGAGAGACTCAGGGTTCTTCTTTAATCAGAAATTGGAAGAGATTCCCTCAGAAAATATCAGTAATAGAAAAAAGCCTAATAAGCATTTTCTTGGTATTGAGAATAATTGGAGTGATTGGAAAGGACAGACCCTGTCTTTTGCATCATCAATGTTGCATATTGTTAGTGTCATAAAGTGTTTTCCAGGGTTTTAGAACCAGTTCTAGAGGATCTTCTCTTTGCAGATCAGGGAGAGGACTAACCCCAAGGAGGTGGCAGCTGTTCTTCCTTTTATTGAAGGGATGTGGGAGATATCTTTGCTTCTCCTGATTTATTTCTTGCCACTGGACCCAGATGGCTCTGGAGAAGAAAGTGTGTGTGCTGACCTTGCACAGTCCTCCACCACTTTAATCCAATTCACTTGCAAATCATGAATCACCTTCCTGATGCCATGGTCCTCTTTGACAATGAAGGACAAACAAGAAGAATGAAGGGAGGAGGACATGCAAACTTCTTTTTTCCTTGTTATGTAAACCAGCCCAAATCCTCTAGCTCTAAGAGAGGAAATTCAGTGTTGTGTGACTTCTCTTTTATCCTGATGACTGACCCTGTAGAGACTCCACACTGGGATTTGAGCTGAATTGGATGTTTTAAAAAATATATTTCACTTTCAATTCACAGAGCAAACAAGCATTTCCATAACACAGCACAATAAAA